GGTTAGTAGTGGGTGGGTTAGTACTTCCAGTTGTTGGGTTAGTACTTCCAGTGGGTACTTTAGTACTTCCAGTTGGTGGGTTAGTAGTGGGTGGGTTAGTACTTCCAGTTGTTGGGTTAGTACTTCCAGTGGGTACTTTAGTACTTCCAGTTGGTGGGTTAGTAGTGGGTGGGTTAGTACTTCCAGTTGTTGGGTTAGTACTTCCAGTGGGTACTTTAGTACTTCCAGTTGGTCGGTTAGTGGTGGGTGGGTTAGTACTTCCAGTTGGTCGGTTAGTATTTCCAGTAGGCTGGATGGTTTCAGGTAGTACAAATGGGAGAAGGTTTCGTGGCACCCTCATTTCAAAGATCTCTGGTGCAATTACTCTCATCCATACAGCTGTAAGATATGTGAGGATATCTGATATCAGAGATTCATCTCTGAATATCCTCTCTATGGACACTGGGCCATCTTTGGCATACAGTACAAAATCACAGTAACTTCTTTCTGTCACAAGGAGTTGCATCTGGACTTGAAAGAAGTATGCATGGCTGTGTTTTAAGTGGCATTTGTTATCTTTAACATAAAAACATTGTCTGCTTAAAACGTCCTTTGAGATACTCGAGTTTTCATGATCAACAACACTTTGTATTGAATGTTCATGAAAGAGCTTTAGACTTTTAATCTCTATCAGCCCATCTTTACCTACGAGACCGTCCGGAGAACAAGCTATCCAGGGGTATTTGGGATTTACCCACAATCCCGATGTTTCCACACAATGGTTTGTTTGCTCTTGGTATTTAGCTATAGCTTTAGGTTCATTCTTTAAACCAATGGCCATCCAAATCGATTGGTAGTTTTCATTCGACAGTTTCCACACATTGGATTCTATAAAATCCTTACTTTTGCTAGCTGCACTGCTAGCCTCATCAACTATAAGTTTTCCGAGTTTGACAGCTTCTGAGCACTTTGAAGCTGTAAGTCGAAACCACCTTTCACAGTGCCATGCTTCACTTTCACTCTGTTTTTCTGTGCCTTTGATTTGCATTAGTGATGGAGGACTGATATTGTTTATGAGTATATTTATCTTTTCTMTTAAARACGACAGGCACACGTTGTCCAGGTTGTAGTCGGAGTATGACATTTGTAGCTGTGTGAGCCACATTGAAAGCTTTCCTGTTTTGGCACTTTCTGTTTGAAGATCTTTGACCAGGTCATTGATATGTGTTGTTTTAACTTGTCGATATTCTGGAGGTCGAGGATCAAAGTCTATAACTTTCAAGCTAGCTTTTCTTTTCTTGTTCGGGTAGAGAGCATCCGATATTCTTTTTGGATTTTTTTTTTCTTTTTTTTGCCTTTGTTCCAAGCACAATCTTGGCTAGTGCATGGCGTAGATACCACGTGGCCATGTTCCTTTACATAGTCTAATAACTTCAGTAATACGGCGATTACATGGCTACATCGGCCAAGAGCCGCTGCTTTGCAAGGCTCRCACGAAGCAWGGATCACGGCACCACTATSGGCTGACAAAATAACTAAAACATTGTGAGKGAGCTCAGTCTTCATCGRAGGCCATACATGTGCCCGCAAATAATAATAATCATTCGTTTTGTTGTCCGTCATATCGTGCACAAAGTCAGAGTCAACGTATTTTCGTCCGTTTTTAAATGGCTTGTCGGTCATATGTCCTAGTCCACTATCACTTTCGTCTGAGTCTGAATCGTTTGACAAATGAGTTCTCGCTGGAAGCGATTCCAAGCCATAATAGTGGATATGGCCGTAGTTGAACTGCGAAGGAATGTCGCGACTCGGGTACTTCTTCCAACCAGTTGACGGTATCTCAGGTACTTTGATATTGAGCGGCTTGTTTTCTTTATCATCGAAAGTCAATTGTTCTTTTTCTTGAAACCATTTGCCTCCATCAATACTTGGATCCAACACATCGTGGTCGCCGTTTATAATACATGCTCTCACACGCGATAACAAGTCACCGCGCTTCCCCGATAATTTTAAACCTCTACATTTAAGCCAGCGTTTCAATTGATCTACAGTATAGTTCTCTGGGTCACTGAGAAACTTTGAACCAGGAACTCCGTCGTTTTCGGTTAAAATTAAAGGTTTTTTTAGAGAATTAGAAGACGCGTTTGCAGATTCCACAGTCATTCTCTCTGTATTAATCACAATGTTTGTCCGAATCACGGTCGGGGGTAAGGAATGTGTGACGTAATATCCGCGCTCCGCTATTAGCAAAGCATTGATGCCACCTAATACAGTTATCACCCGCATATACAAGGCCAAAACAGGATAGAGTAGGTTTGTTTTATCCCATTGAAATTAATTGCAAGATTTTCAAGAACATAACAAGAACTGCTCTGTTATAAAAGTTAATAAAAATCACTTTAACTGTAAAACACACTCAGTAAATAGTACAAAATATATAAACAAAATACTTTAATATTAAAAACAACAGCAATTTAGTTTAGGACATGGTGCCCCCGACCAAGTAATTTCAATGTTGAAATAGTTCCAATATGCACAACTTTGATTGACAGTTTAATTTTCCCTGATAACTTTACCTAACCTTGGCAGACCAAGAGCAATTCCTGGGTATTCAAGTTCAATTGCAATGTACTTGTCATATAATATTTCAAGCTTGGGTACAACAGTGTCAGCAAACTCTTTGCTCTTCTTTACACTTAATATGATAATATCTTTCAAATCAGAAATTACAAGATCTTCAAACTCATATTCTATGCAATGAAGTTGGTGTTGAACCTGATAAAAGTATTTCCCCAGGAAATACGTCACTATAATAATACGTCTCTATAATAATAGAGAGCGAATAAAATAGAAAAATAAAAGAAAAGGTACATCTTAGTACCTCCGTAGGATT